AACACAAAACAAAAGGGATTTAACAACTCGGTTGAAGACTATTTCACTCCAATTCAACGCTCGTATATCTATAATCAACAATGTTTTGGAGCACAATATTACTTAACATTACTCATTGGATGCTTTCAGATACAAAAATGTATCAGGAATAATAACAATAATCCACAGGTTCCTTTTACTCTTATGGAAATATTACTATTGGCTTTTAAAAATGTTGCCCTTTTGGTCAGTCCCACTGATGCTTTGTTCCTTAGAATCTGATCTGCCTGGAAAGACAAATTACAGATAGACTTTTAGTGCTCTGAGCAAAAGGACTGCTTTTTATCATAGAAACAGAGAGCAACATCAATTTCTGAAGAAAAAAATAGACATTTCAGTTGTGCATCCCTAGACCGAAAGTCAGAATTGTAAAAACCCACGGCAATAAGTTTGCTTTGAAAGCTTTAGTTATGACTTCACCAGGTATTGCTTTATGCTTTCCTACTGCATCCTAACTTGGAATATTAAGCCAATCACAAAATTTAAAATAGCAGTAAACTAAGCAGCAAGAGACATGAGTATGAACCTCTTCCCATAATGCACGATGCATATACCCTCCTGAAGCCCACTGAAGTCAATAGACTATATCCGCTACTGTCAATGCTCTTTCAGACAGACTTTTTCAGAAGCACAACTGGCACTTCACATCAGAAACAGTGGTGTGTGGTCAAGTCCAGATCTGTATCTGTGCTTTTTTTACAGTTTGCTGTGGCTGAAAGCAAAGTTAAAGATTTCTGCTCTAGCTGCCTTCCGAATGTTACCCAAAGCCTGTCAGAGAAGGCATTTCAGTGGTCTTTAAGTACCTCTGGCCATGCAGGAGTACTGGGGAAGAGGATAATGTGTGGAGATCTTAGCACAGAATCACTCTCACTGCACAGCACTAGTGCCACTGATTTCATGCGTCACTTGCCTTTAGACCATCCACGCGGGAGTATGTCTTCCTTATAAGTTACAGCCCCACTCACAGTGTGCTAATTAACATACAAATAGCAGTATCTTTGATGGCACGGAACAATTTATATTTTGCTATGAACTCTTCTAATACGCTGAACCACAGAGCGTGGCACTAAAGGAGGATGAAGGATTGTGCAGAAGAGATACAATTAATAGTTGCTGGAATGTTCTTTCTGGTCTTCACTCTCTGTGGTGTGTTATTTGCTAGAGACTAAAACTGAGCTGGTAACAAGATGTCATGGGACAAAAACCTTTTGGATCAAGTGAAAATATTACATTGTTAAAATCAAAATGGGTCCCTTTTGAGGTTAGAGAGGAATGTGAGTTTCACAATTTCTTTTTTTAACAATCAGCAGACAGCCAGCTAAATCGTACTCATAAAATACCACTCCAGTTTGGATCTGTCACAAAAATGAAGCATTTAATTGCTGCTAGAAGTGACAAAGATAAGCTATTTTCATTCCCACACGAAGAGCAGGGGCATCTGTGGAAAAGACAGACTTTTTTTCTTGGTTTTCTATGTGCTACAAAGATGCATTCACTTATAGGTAAGAAAACGAAGCAAGCAATGTGACAAAGTAAAAGCTTAAACATTAATTAAGAACCTAAACTCCTCCAAATCCAGCATGAAAAGCAGGTAGCAGAAGCTTGGTTTAAGAGAAATTCTTTCCCAGCAGGTTCCCCCCATGTACATATTCTATTTTACTTCCATATGGAGTCTGTAAAAAAGAAAAAAAAAAAAAGTACAATGGTTCACAAAGCTCTATTGTGACCTTTTAAAATAAAACAACCATGCACTGCTACACTTCTGGAAAGGCCACTATTGGGAAAAAAAGATATTATAAAAATCTTTCCTATCAGTCACGTTACGAACTGTCTGCTGGGGGCTGATAGCTTCTTGGGCAAACGCACAGCACAGACGTCAGGGCAGCACACCTGGATCCTGCTGCTTAGGACAAAAAATCTTCCAGCCAGGTTCATGTCTGCATGCATGTGGGCATGCTTCTGGAGTGGGGGGCATTTCCCAAAGGATAACTGCTCCCTGGGCACCTCCTTGCCCCTGCAAGCTAATAGAAGTTAGTTGCCTCACAGCCATCAGTGTCTTTGGAAAAGTTCCCTCTAATTCTTTGTCCCAGACACATTGCCCCGAAAGTGTCCTGCTGTCTGTCTACACAAATTAGTCAGTCTCTAAAATCTTGTTCTCTACAGGACTTCTGGTGTTGGCTGCAGCAAAACCTTTCTAATATTTCATCTCCGGTTATGACTCTCAGCTTTTTTAGGGAGGCTGCACTTAGATAAGACACCAACTCAAATATCCTATACTCTAGAGAGGGCTTTCATTCAGCTGGCAGCATGTTGTTGACTTTTTTGCAAAGTAAAGAAACAGCCATCTTTGTTTGCATAACAGCTGTTGATATTTTCTTTTTGTTTTATGATGTTTATTTAAGATATCTTAATGATTTTATTTTCCTTAGATTCACTTGCCTGGAATTAGCTACTTTGTTTTCACTGAAAGGAAAATTAGGAAGGTACATAATTAAAAAAGGGACTAATTCTCTCATCTTTACACTGGCAGAATTCCCATGAACTTTGATTACTTGCTAGGAATTTTGCCTGAAAAAGGATCATATAATTAAGGACTTCATTGCTGCAGATTATATTAAAGCCAAATGCCACATACAGAATTCCTGCACACAGAGTCCAAAAATGAAGTGCAAGACACTCTTAGGTTTTAGGAGTTCTGAGATTTACTGTTCATCGTTGTTCCCACTTCAGCCCGGGTAAAAGCATTAAGCTGGATAAAAAGAAGTCTTTTCTTGATATCTTGCATCATATTTCTTTTTAGTTTTCAGTTTCTGCTGTGAGTTTAAGGATTTAAGAATACAAGAAAACTATTTAATTACCCAAGAACACAAAAAAATTACAAAAATACAAGAGAAGTCCCACTAAGCTTAATATTTAGTCCCGAATACTAGGGAAGAATACGAACTGGAGCAAGCATGTTAGTGATGCTTGTTGCTGAGGCATCTTTCATTGTGGAGGCTGGTGGCTTAGAGACACCTTGATCCAGAGGGCAGAGGGCAAATTCCTGCATGCGTCCTGTGTGAGGCAAGGATTTGCTGCTAATGGCAATGGCAGCCTGGGATGGTGGTGCTGTGAGATGTCCTCCCACTCGCCGGCAGCCCCCGTGACACCAGATCACCAGGCAGAGGATCACCCTGGCACCGAGGGCTCTCTGCCACCTCCTCAGCTTCACCTTCTCCATGGAATCACTCACAGAAAGCACCATTTACCCCTCTCCTTGTTTATCCATTTCAGCTCATTTTAGAAGTAATCTAAGCTCAAATGTAGATATTTCGGCAGCCAGCTTGAAATATCTGGGACTTAATTTTCAGAGGTGTCAATCTCCTAGCCTAGGCTGAGGTCTATGGGACACTGTGACGTCTCTTCAAAAATAGCTCCTAAGCCTCTGAATTTGAACATTAGAAATGGAGAAACATGCAATTCATGCATCTTTCTGAAATTCTGGCATTTGTTGTTGAATCCAGCTAAGACTGCGCCTTTTAACGAGTGTGTATGTGAATATTTCCCTGGAAGTATGTCTAAAATTGCTGGGAGATATTTTAACTGTAATCCATGGGGAGCTATTGATGGTAATAAAAAACACTGTGAGAAGAAAACAGCAGCAAGTGAAACTGCCCTCTCAGAAAGCCCAGGTCTGCTTTGAAGGAAGTGTTGATATTCACCATAAGCCTCGATCATTTCCCAGAGGGCTGTACAGTGCCTTGTAATGACATAATCAAAAAGTAATGGTGTTCTGGACTTAAAGAGAAAAAAAAAAAAGCAGGGCCTGATCCGTCTCCCATTGAAATCAAAGAGGATTTTGCTATTGACTTCAGTGAGAACAGAGTTCTGGACACAATCTGCGTACAGTTAATTTGCACATTTGCTTATCCAAACGATCCTAACTTTAACCAATAGCATGTCTAGATGTTTGTCTGGGAGTACTCCTGTACAAATGCATAAGTGTGAGTTTATCATGTGGTTTAATTCAAATTATTCTGGCATTTAAAAAGCATTTCCAGCTACAAAGGACAGCTTTAGCTGATTTCCACCCAGAATATAGACTTTAATTGGTAAAGTTGTAACTCATATTTCAGGCTGCAATTCATATTCGATTTCATGCAAGCTAAGGACAGCAGCAGATTTTGCATTTGTGGGGTTAATTTTAAAATGATCTTACTATGCAGTCAATTAAATTTTTGCAGTCATTATTTCAAAATGTGAAAAGCTCTACAAATTACTCAACTCATCAACTAAGGTCCTTGGTTTCCTTGAAGGGAAACTTCTTTGATGACCACAAGAAAATTGCAGTAAATGGCAAGTAAGATTGCCATCACAAGTCTGCTGAAAATACAAGATGAACTCCTGATTGCTTTAGTCATGTGAACAGTCCCTTCAGAGCAGCCGAAAGTCAGGCAAGGTGGCTTACACCAGGAGTTAATTTAGCCTGCTGGGACTCTTTGCATTGCTAAAATGAGCATGATTTTGGCTTGTAAATGGGGGGTAGAATTTTATTTCGCTTTCTGAGAGGCATACATCCATTTTAGAGTAAGCCTTTCAGAATAAAAGTTTACTTCACATTATAGGAAATGACATTCCTTTTTTAGATTTCCCTTTTCAAAGCATGCCTCAGATTTCTAACTTGTAGCAGAGAGCTTTTGTATAAGTAATAAAAGTCTTTAAAATTAAAATGCTAATCGTAAACAAACCCAAATGCATGAAAGATCTAGTCTGACTGCATAACAAAAGAGAATTATATAATTCTATTTGAGTGAAATCTTTCATCTTTGATTTACAGGTTTGAGTCTGCCTATAACTGAAACCATATTGCTCCATATCTTTCATATCATGGCCTTCCCCAAAATCTTGTTTTAATTAAGGTTCCTTTCAGATTTCGGAATAAAAAGCATGACAGTCTTCACTTATGGCTTTAATATATCTTGTGAGTTTGGAAAATATATAAAATGAACATCACTTGCTTTTAAAAGCTGAGCGAACTATCCAATACTGCAAGTCAAATACTTCAAGGTATCTCCCAGAGTTCATTAGGTGACAAAGTGGTAAACAAAATCAAAGTTGCTGTAGCAGAGTTTTGTTCATTTGAAGTAGTCTTACATACATGCCCTATCTCTTTTTCTGATGGTAAGGCAACACGTGTAACAGTTTAAGCGTTCATTATCAGCTAAAGGCACAACTCTATGTTACGTTCTCAAACACAGAATTAAACAGCTAAAGTCACATTGCAGGGAGATCTCGCTGCTCTTTGAGGATCTAAAATAAAGCCTAAACCCTTTGAAGCTTCTAAAGCAACATCAGTTCTCTTGGTGCAGGACTACATAAAAGAACCAGTTTGCATTCACATGACGACCTGTAAAGAACACCCCCCCGACACAACCTCCACAGAAACACCTGAGCTTCAAATGAGCTGCACGCAGTTACTGAAGGTTGCTGCTTTTAGAGTCAGGACGAAGAAAAGTTTCAGAACCAGCTAAAAACACGTTTGAAAAACCATCCATTTTTTCAGAGACTACTTGATCTCTGCCGCACATCTGGCGAGAGCTACTGTCAACTACAGAGGGTACAGCACTTTTTTGTAAAGGCAGAAGATTGCTCGTTGTAGAGAATCGTGAATGTGTTTTCATGATAGAAAAGATTACATGAAATGGGGAGGGATGGCCAGGAAAAGGGAAAAGAAAATAAAGCACCCCCAAGCACAGTACTTCGGGGGATTTATAGTATGGTAAGAAGTGCTTTCCCGTTAGCTGAAATCCCTCGTTGTAATTTACATGCCTTTCACTTACTCAGCTATGAACTCATTACAGGGGGTTAAAAAATAGCACGTAAAATAAAAGTTTTTTTTTTCTTTTTCATTACACAGAGCAAAGAAAACAAATTCTATTAACAATTTAACACAGTATGAAAAAAATCACCCAGTAAAAAGTGTCAGAAAGTGATTCATGGAGTTTACCGAGTATTTTGCTGGCTGTTGCAAATCTCGTATCTATAATCTATCATGTAGAATTTTGTAATACTCTATTTCACAATTTATGTTGGTGAGTGGGTCAAACAGCATATAAAAAGCATGCTCTAGGCTCTTTCTCCCAAGCCCGTTTTACTGTAACTCTAGAATTGTAGTGGTTACATTTAAGGAATCTTTAGGGCCCTTTCAAGTCCATCCAAAGAACAAGTGAAGCTGCTATTCAGAGTTTTGTGCCCAGTGTTTATGTTCCATCTGATCTGTGCCACCCAAGCAGCAGACAAGACATGTCTGAGGGTGCTTTGGGGGGATACACAATGATGTCACCCACAGGAAATATCAGGGAGGACTTGGCACTTCACAAGGCTGGCTCTTCTTCCATGGGCTCGCCAGCAGCTCTGTAAAAATAAACAGGCAATCAGAATATGGCACAAGAGTACACAATGACATTGTAGATTTTCATGCATAATCAAAGCTGATTTTTCAGCTCTCTCTGATGTTTATTTGTGCTATTCAGTTATCCATAAATAGAGTTTCTTTCCTAGGAAGTATAAACAAATGTCAAGTGGAAAAACATTTTAGATCCAAGCAATCACTGAAAATGTTCCTGTTTATATTAAAATATGTCAGAATATTTTATAACTTTTTGTCGAGAAATGTACATGCTTTGTGTCAATAGAGTCAAATAATTTCATGAAAAAATAGCTGTGATACTTTTATTTTACAAGCTTTTGCAACTAAAAATACAAGCATTTATTTTTTCAAGTGGGCCCATACCATTGAAACTAAATAGTTCACTAGTAGACAAGTAGTTAGCAGTGTTTCTTCTGTGGTTCCTCGGATTTTTGATTCTGTGCTTCCTCTGATTTTTGATTCTGTGCTGTCACAAATGTATTGCCTGCCTGCCTGCAACTTCTGAGACCAGATTCTGAACTCAATCAGATCACTGTCATAGAGGAAGTATCTAATAATAATATCAAATCAGATTATACACATATCTTGTATTTTAAAGCCTCTGGGAAATATTCAGCTTAGGTGAGACAGGCTCTTTAAAACATCCAGCAAGAAAATAATGGGAATATATGCTGAGCTGGAGTAAAGTGTCATAATTCATGGTATCTGACAAGGTAACGCACCTGAGGATTATGCTGGTAATTATAAAATGGGAAGCTTCTGAGACCATGAGACCTCAGTGTTGAAGGACATGAGAATTTGAACATAAAACATTTTTCACCTCAGTCTGGCAGAATACCATAAAACAAATGAGCTTAAGATCTCCTTAAAAATAGTCACTTCAAGCAATGTTGAAATGAGAGAGGCGCCAAAAGTAAATGCAAATTAATAAATAAGATATTTACCAGTTAAATCCAGTAAGCCAGTATAATAATTGGCTTCAGTAAAACATCCCTCAGAAAGTACAAACTCATGAGATTGCATGGAAAAAAAAAGGACTTGCACGGGCTTTGGTAGTTTATTCGGCAAGGAACCCAGAGAATTTTAAATGGATCTGGAGTCTATTAAAGGCTTTCCCAATGAAAAATTCAGCAGTGTGTCTTTAAATGATTTTAAACAAGTTATTCCTTTATGATTTGGAAAGGTCACAGCTAGTATGAAGAATATGTCAGATGAATGATATATGAAAAAGGTGGTGTTTTTCTGACTAATCATTTTCCAAAGGGTTGTTGACCCTAAAAGATTATTAATCTATAACAATCACAGGTTGCCCAGAGAAGTTGTGGATGCCCCATCCCTGGAAGTGTTCAAGGCCAGGTTGGATGAGGCTTTGGGCAACCTGGTGTAGTGAAGGATTTCTCTGCCCATGGCAGGGGGGTTGGAACTAGATGATCTTTAAGGTCCCTTTCAACCCTAACCATTCTATGATTCTGTGATTCTATAAATCTCAAATCTATTGCTCCTCACCACATGGTGGAGAATGTTTCCTATGTACAGTAACCACTGCAGCTCTCTCATTCTGGAGAAGGGAGGTGAAGCAGAATTTCAGGGAAGGCTGCAGCAGGAGTCACTTTGGATGGGGCAGTGCTGGGGTGGAAGTGCTTCCCTGCCCATGTGCAGATGCAGCAGGACATCGCTCCCCTTTGACAGGCAATATAAAAACCTGGAGAGCTTATCAAGATACGCATAAAAATGTTTTGCAAGATCTTTTTCAAAAATGACCGAGATCATCACTGTCTTCTCTTTTTTTTTTTTCCCCCCTTACTTTGTTTTGGCTTGCAGTAGAGACCACACAGGGGTAGCCAGGGTGGGATGGAGCCCAGCCTGCTGCTCAGGTCCTCAGGTGTGATAAAGGATCGTGCACCACGTGGAGAATTCATATGGATGCTGTATATGGCTGTTGTTTTGACCACATGCTTCCCCTTTTTCCAGCCACTTTTGGAAGACCTGCATGTCCTCTAGCATAGCACAAAAGTGCAGTAAGTCCTTGTTAAACCTCCAGGACCTTATGGGGCTGCCTGGAGGAGAATAATTTGGAAGCAGATAACAGTTCAGTTTTAAGTTCTGGTGTGGATAAGTGAATGAATGAGAAAAAATAGTTGTCAACAGATTTCAACTGGAGACTGGCAGAGCAGGAAGGAGTGGAGCTCTTGAAATCTTATGGAAGTGAAAGTAGGAGTTTGCATTATTTATAAGGAACTAGGGAAGCAGTATGTGCAACAGTTTGTTCACATGTATTTGGCTTCTGGGAATGACACCTTCATAATCATAGTACAACTGAGAGACAATCTTATTCAAAGTTTTAGTCCTGGACAATTTTTAACTGATGAGGGTGTTTCTGGGTGCCAGGACCAACCTTCAGTGCTATATTCTAATATATTCCAATATATTCCAACACTATGCTAATATTCTGCACCAGCCAGAGCCTAAGCACTAATAGAAATTTTTATATGTGAATGCAAGATGTAAGGCCCTTTTTGGAAATGGCACGGAGATTAGGGTGCCCTGGTGAATCCAGCTGTTGTCACTCAGTGTGGTTGCTCTCACAGCCTTCTGTGGCCTCCTTTTGAAGACTTATGTGCATGCTTTAACTTAATTTTATTAGTGTCAGAGAAGTCACTGGATCTGTCCAATGGCTTATCATTAAAAACATACATTTTTATGGGATAACGGCTTAGGCCAGAGTTTTGTGTGAGAGCCAGCAAAGTTTTAGGGTCGTTAGTACAGAGACAAAAACACTGTAGTCACATATCACCAAGCGGTGAATTAATATATCCCCATTCTGCTAAAACCAAAAGTTCTCAAAAAAAAAAAAAAATCGAGGAGGCAGAGTCTGACAGGCCAAATTTAGATTACCTCAGTTATGTCACTGTTAGTTACATCAGTTCAGTCAGTCTTCCTGTAGCTGACAAGAAGTTGGCATAAAACAGGCAAAAAAACCCATCCCATGTTGTGTGCTCTGACTCGTTCCTCAGAGGTGCAGCTGCAAACTTGGGTCTGATCCGGACTGATTCCGTGTGGTCAGCAGATCCAGAAAGACACCGATTGGGACTGTAATGACTGTAGAGTCAGAATTGTGATTTTGCATTAAGGCTTCACAATGGTTCATTTAAACTGCAAGTTCCTAGGAGCAGAGAGTGCTCACCTGGAGCTCTCTATATATGCAATTTACACTACAGCATAATGAAGTAGTCTCTTTGCAGTTAGCGCTAAACAAAACGATTCTCTTTAAACCTTAAAACAAACGAAACAGATGAGGCAAAATCCCCCATATGGATGAAATCTGGCAAATGTATGACATCTTAAGTATTGTTCTGTGGCAGTTGAGAAAAAATGACAACCATATTATTTAATGAGAATATTATTTAAAATAGTTCACATCTACACTTAAAAAAAGTCAGCATTTAAGAATATAGATAAATCTTGTACATCTTCCAAAAAAGTAACTGTTTCTCTTACCTTATTTTTAAAATTAGAATTATAGAGATTCCTCACAGCTACATCATCACATACATAAAAACAAAAATTCAAGGTATGTTTCCAAGTCACAGAAACTGCTGAAGAAAAGATAGATTTTCTGGCATGGTATGGCTGCTTTATGCCATAATCTGTTCCTAATTTAACTCAGCTGTCTCAGGGAAGATTGTAATTGGAAAGTGATCCTCTGGTAGCAGAGAACTGAGGAAAAAGAGGTAGATTTCTATACCACGGAGATGATTTGGAGAGTGTCTAAAGACATCATATAAGAGATCCTGAGTAAGTGTATATCCTAGTAAAAACAGATTTTGCATGGATCAAAGAAAAAGGAAATAAAAGTAAAAGCCATCATAGTTTAAGAGCAGAATAAGGTAACTTCACGTATACTCTCAAAAGAGGAAGTAATGTTCAAATAAGGCAAATTTAAAAAAGTATAAACTCTGGCAAGTTAAATGTAAACCCTCAGGGAGGCGGGCAAAAGAAGAGTCTGAAGAGCAACATGTTAAAGGCATAAAAACTAATAATAAAAAGATCTTTCAAATACATCAGAAGAAATGATCAAAGCATAAAAGGATCATCAAGGAAGGTAGACCGCAAAAGCAAAATGTACTATTTATATCTGTGTTCACTAAAGAAGTGTCAGGGAGATTTTATTATTTGCAGATGAACTATCTTAAACTGAATCAGCACTAGAACAAACTGATATATTAAACATTAGCAAATTGCTAAGAGCAGACGATATTTGTCCACTGAGTTTTAGGGGAGTGCAATTATGATTTTGCTAAAGAAATAATTATTGAGCATATTCTACTACTTAACTCAGCATCCATGCCATAGGCAGAGAAGATAAGAAATACAATTCCCCTTTTGGAAACTACAGGAGATACAGTAAGTCCTTTATGGGGAAATTGATGGCAACTATAATCAATGATCGAGTTAGTGAGCACTTAGATAATAACAATCTGGGTAAGAGTTATGTTTTAATACTTACAGACAAAGCAAGACTTACAAATTTATCAGATGCTTCTGAAGGAAATGAAGGAAAAGAGATCAAGTGACATCCCTCTGCAAAGAAAGCCTTCTAACAATTTTATCCAAACGTTTTGAGGAACCTAGGTTATGAGAGAAGGTCCTTTCATAGATTAGCAGTCCATCAAATGTAGCAAACAGACAATAATATTGGCAAATTTTCACTATGGAGAGATTCTCCAGAGCATCTCCAAAAGACTTGGCAGACTACCAGTAGATTTAGGTGATATCGTTTGTTGATGATGCCAAATTACCAATACTAGTCAGTTCTAAAGCCCATAACAAAATTTCTGAGTGGAAAAGAAGGCAAACAAACACAAACTAACACAGAATACACAAAAGGGGGGGAGGAGAGCTTTAATCGTTTATGCATAGTGAATCCTATGACTGAGAGCCTGGAGTTAATGGTAAGAGAACAGAGAGCAATAGAAACAAGAGAAAATCCCCAACATTAAGCTATTGTGTAAATCCACAGTGTGCCCAACACCTGGAGTCCTGCATGCAGTTCTCACTCCATCTCAGAGAAAACTACAAAAGGCACAGAGAGGGGCAAGATTCATCAGAGGTAAGAAATTATTTTCATACCAGGAGAAATACAGAGTCTTGAGACAGGTGCCTTTAAAACCAGAAATGCGGCAGAGACTATGAGTAAGAAAAGAGCTACTTTTATTTCTTACAATGCAAGAACTAGTGAATTTATTGGTTAATAAGTTTATAGCAAAGAAAAAGAAGTGCAATGCCTGATGAGGCTGTGGGATTCACTACCTGAGTGCCAAAGGTGTAAGTTGGTTCAAAAAGAGCTTTGAAAAGTTTATGTCTGGGTAGGTATCCTGAAGGCTTTTATGCAAGATGAGTCAGATGATACAGCTGTTGACATCTACCGACTCACCAGGGCAAGGGTGGCTCTCCAACTCTCTGCTCCTGGTTTTCTTCATTACACATGCACTACCAATGAATGAGAGGAAGGTGGGCAACATAAGGCTGCAGCCTGGCCTGGGGAAGCTTTTCTTCAGCTCCTGAGCCTGGCTGCAATTGCAGATCCTGTGGGGTATGGCCAGGTAGGTGCATGTTACTGAGCACAGCTGAGGTGAATACCGAAACAGTGAAATGCTAAGTGAAGAGTTGATACACAAACACAGCAAGTGACCCTAGATGGTGGCTAGCTGTACCCCATGATCCAACCAGTCACTCTAGTATAAAATATAATGCATTATGCAGTGTGACTGAAACTGCAATGGGTAGCTCTGTAGCACTAAGAGTAATATCTAAATATTATACTTTGTTTTCATTTCCATTTGAGTAAAATCTATGCTCAGCTGAAGGAGGGCCATAAAGTCAAATTCTGATAAATGTCATTCTCAAGATTTACTGTTTGCTGTAGAAATAGTAAGTGCAAGAGATCTCTCTCCATACCCTTTTATTTTTCCATTTTAAGAAGAAACATACAGAAGCTCTAATGTATCAGGGAAAACACGATACTGAATATTTTCACAGCAAGATTTCTGAAACGGGTGTCTGGCCAAAGCAAAATTCTAATCAGCTAAATCTGTATCTCACATAAGGAATAAGCAATTATCAATGCACAACAGTTATGGTAGTTAGAAATATTTTATAGGACATGCCTGTTCCTTTAATTACATCTGTATTTAAATCTGTGTTAGCATCATGCATGTTTTCTTTCCTATCCACAAACTCTTTTTTCTATATCTGCTCTCTTCTGAAGTCTATAATCAAGTTTCAATTGGATGTTAAAATGCAGAGTTGTGCTTTGGTAAAATAAAACACCGAAAGTGCGGCAGTTTTTCACGGTTTTCTTCATTTAGCCTGCCAGAGAAAATCAAATAAAAAAATAATCGGTACTGTCACTTGAAGAAAAGAAAGACAGAGAGAAGAAAGAAAGAGAAATACTTAAGATGGGCCTTAGCCAGAAGCGTTTTATCCTTTATTCATCAGTGGTAAATGAGTCAGATATGAGTTGGCCAGGAAAAGAGCCGCTTTACCCAAAATCCGAGTTTAAAGTGAGTCATCTCACTCCAAACACCAATATATCCTCCAACATAACTGGCAAGAGTTTCCTGCAAAGAGATTCTTGCTGCTGCTCTCTTCATCTGGAGGCCTGACCATCCAAACCTGAAGTCAACAGGATCTCTACCATCAATTCAGTGACACAAGGTTAGAGATGCAGGCCAGAGCTGTCAGCCTGGCCGACCATGGTGGGAATTAAGAGAAAGTAGATAGGTTTTTGGCATAGCGAACAAACCCTTCAGGCTGCCCCGTCAGACACGGTGCTTTCTGCTCTGATCTCGCCCTACCTGTCACAACCAACTTTCCCAAATCAACACTCAACAGAAAGGCTTGCAACAGGTCTTCAGAAGGTGGCCTCCATCTAACATGTGGACAGGAGAGGCACACCTATGGTGGCCTTATCAGGAGGACTTGAGACACCAGACGTCTCTTCATGTTCCTACAGTTCTGTCCTTTGCCACAGAAAGGGGCTGGAGAAGAAGCATTGCATACTTGGTCCTTAATTACAACAAACGTAACAAATGTGAAAAAGCAATGTTGGACTTATCACTACATTACCGAAGTTTGTGTTGGCATGTGTCTATGAAATGAATGGCATGTTTTTGTGAAATGAATGACATTGTACTGGCATGAAACCACAGTGTGCAATGTTGAATCTTTCCCTGGATTTATGATCCCGTGCTGGACTTTCATTCATGCTCGAAGTACAGATAGGTCATCTCAGGTCTCACCCAGCTCAGAGGGCTGTGCCCTCAAAATCAGACCTTCAGGGTCACCATTTTTGATTCCATATCCCTCTTTACATTCAGC